CAAATGGGTACCTGGTGCTGTGTGCAAACATCGCCACTGGGGAGACAAAGGCGGCCGGGGGTGGTGCTGGCCACCCAGACCCCCTCGTGTGCCGTGCCGGTCTTCAAAAGTGCTCGGTACCGGAACTTGCCCTAAACAGTCTGTTAAGGCTACACGGGGGATCTTTGTCTTTGTTATAGACAAGGACCCTGCCTCTTAACGCAGAATGATGATTCGGCCCGTTGCTGAGAACATAAACCACAAAACAGGTAAGTGGACAACCCGTACGCAATTGTAGCTTGACCCCCGAATCGCGGCTACACGAGTTTAGAAGAAGAAAAAAAAACGACACGAGAGCGTGTTTATTCTGTCCTGCTCATTAACATGTTTCATTCACGTGGATAATAATCCCCCTGGAAGTGGAGACGTCCCGTTCGCAAGGGGAGTGGTGGGGGGTGATGCGTCGTGCATATCGAGTGGCATCTCCAGAGCAAACACGTGGTGACACCGCATCTACCGCTTAAACAACGCGCACACAGTTCTGTTGTTGTTGTTGTATCACAAAACTCGTGTGAAATATTTCACCAAGTCGAGGAGCGGGACAGCCAGGGCAGTACTCACTGTGGTGAGCGGGACAGCCAGGACAGTACTCACTGTGGTGAGCGGGACAGCCAGGACAGTACTCACACTGGTGAGCAGGACAGCCAGGGCAGTACTCACTCTGGTGAGCGGGACAGCCAGGACAGTATTCACTCTGGTGAGCGGGACAGCCAGGGCAGTACTCACACTGGTGAGCAGGACAGCCAGGGCAGTACTCACTCTGGTGAGCGGGACAGCTAGGACAGTACTCACTCTGGTGAGCGGGACAGCCAGGGCAGTACTCACTCTGGTGAGCGGGACAGCCAGGGCAGTACTCACACTGGTGAGCGGGACAGCCAGGACAGTACTCACTCTGGTGAGCGGGACAGCCAGGGCAGTACTCACTGTGGTGAGCGGGACAGCCAGGACAGTACTCACTGTGGTGAGCGGGACAGCCAGGACAGTACTCACTCTGGTGAGCGGGACAGCCAGGATAGTACTCACTCTGGTGAGCGGGACAGCCAGGGCAGTACTCACTGTGGTGAGCGGGACAGCCAGGACAGTACTCACTCTGGTGAGCGGGACAGCCAGGACAGTACTCAGTGGTGAGCGGGACAGCCAGGACAGTACTCAGTGGTGAGCGGGACAGCCAGGACAGTACTCACTCTGGTGAGCGGGACAGCCAGGACAGTACTCACTGTTGGTGAGCGGGACAGCCAGGGCAGTACTCACACTGGTGAGCGGGACAGCCAGGACAGTGCTCACTCTGGTGAGCGGGACAGCCAGGACAGTACTCACTGTGGTGAGCGGGACAGCCAGGGCAGTACTCACTGTTGGTGAGCGGAACAGCCAGGACAGTACTCACTGTGGTGAGCGGGACAGCCAGGACAGTACTCACTCTGGTGAGCGGGACAGCCAGGGCAGTACTCACTGTTGGTGAGCGGGACAGCCAGGACAGTACTCACTCTGGTGAGCGGGACAGCCAGGACAGTACTCACACTGGTGAGCGGGACAGCCAGGACAGTACTCACTGTGGTGAGCGGGACAGCCAGGGCAGTACTCACTCTGGTGAGCGGGACAGCCAGGGCAGTACTCACTGTGGTGAGCGGGACAGCCAGGGCAGTACTCACTGTGGTGAGCGGGACAGCCAGGACAGTACTCACTGTGGTGAGCGGGACAGCCAGGGCAGTACTCACTGTGGTGAGCGGGACAGCCAGGGCAGTACTCACTTTGGTGAGCGGGACAGCCAGGACAGTACTCACACTGGTGAGCGGGACAGCCAGGGCAGTACTCACTCTGGTGAGTGGGACAGCCAGGACAGTACTCACTGTGGTGAGCGGGATAGCCAGGACAGTACTCACTCTGGTGAGCGGGACAGCCAGGGCAGTACTCACTCTGGTGAGCGGGACAGCCAGGACAGTACTCACTCTGGTGAGCGGGACAGCCAGGACAGTACTCACTCTGGTGAGCGGGACAGCCAGGGCAGTGCTCACTGTGGTGAGCGGGACAGCCAGGACAGTACTCACACTGGTGAGTGGGACAGCCAGGACAGTACTCACACTGGTGAGCGGGACAGCCAGGGCAGTACTCACTCTGGTGAGTGGGACAGCCAGGACAGTACTCACTGTGGTGAGCGGGATAGCCAGGACAGTACTCACTCTGGTGAGCGGGACAGCCAGGACAGTACTCACTCTGGTGAGCGGGACAGCCAGGACAGTACTCACTCTGGTGAGCGGGACAGCCAGGACAGTACTCACTCTGGTGAGCGGGACAGCCAGGGCAGTGCTCACTGTGGTGAGCGGGACAGCCAGGACAGTACTCACTGTGGTGAGCGGGACAGCCAGGAGAGTACTCACTGTGGTGAGCGGTGGCTGGGCATCAAAGTAAAGAGGTCGCCGTGTTCGTAACGCAGTGCAGTGCTAACCACAGCGCCACCGCTCCCCAGGAGCAGTCACGCCGCCACACGTGCTGCGCGAGTGTGGCTTTATTCACATATTGAAGACGAATTATTTACTTGTGAATTCAAAAAGACTGGCGGAACATGTGTGTAACTGTGTGTGTGTGGTGAGCGGGAGTGTAGTGGTTAGTGCTACGCTGCACTACGAGCCCGGCGACCCGAGTTCGATCCCCGCTCACGGCCAACAACAGTGACGATTATCTGAACCGATCCTGGGCATCCCCTAGGTCGACTCAGCCTCAAATGAGTACCTGGTGCGGTGTGTAAGCATCGCCACTGGGGAGACAAAGGCGGCCGGGCGTGGTGTTGGCCACCCACCCCCTAGCGTGCCGTTCCGGCCTTCATAGGTGCTCGCTAACTGCACTCGCCCCAACAGTCTGTTCAGGCTATACGGGGGATCTTTGTCTTTATTGGGAGATCCTTCCAGTGATAATTGTATGGTTTTATTTTTTTTGTTTCCCTTCTACGTGACTTTATCGAAAGAACCAAGAATGTCAGATCATTCCGCGTTGAACAAAAAACACTGTGCTGGACGATACGGTTGCTGATCATCATCATCACGGTCCATGTGCAGATAGCCCCGTAGATGTCCCCTGCACATTTAACTTTCCTCTGCCTTGGTGCCAATACGCTCAAGCAGTGGACGCACATCTGTCTGTCACCGATCTCTTCACGATGTCGTCTTGGTCGAGCCGTTCTCCGTGAGGTCTTCCTCTCTCACCGCCTCCATCCATTTTGCCGAAGAACACGTTTTTAAAACGTCTTGTTGTCGTCCATCCTGCATACGTGTCCAAATCGTACCTTTCGATCATCATCGTCGTCGTCGTCGTCAGCAGCCATGATCAATCCACTGCTCGATGGAAGCCTCTTCTTCCCCAAAACGCTGAGGCCGTCACCAGCACCACCTCGAACGATTCATCGGCGGATCAGTCTCGCAGCGAGCAGTGCACCACCCCGCGTATGAGAGAACCGACCACTCCACATCATCCAAACGACAACATTCCTTCTGGAGTCACGTCATTCCGCCTTCTTTCACCCACACTACGCAACTAATACTACTCGTTGCACTTCGTCCGGGAAAGCATCGCTGAGTCTCAAGGCTTCGTTTGAGGAGGGTGCTGCTACATTGCAAATGTTTGGTCACGAATTCCATCATCGAATAATTATTTAATTAATATTAATCATTGAGGGTTCGGTTTCACGTGTGAGGAGGAAACCACGCCTTGCACGAGGGGGCAACGCTCTATCCCCGTACACATTAGCCCACTCGCTGAACCGCCTTCCCCTGGCTAGCCCCGGGTGAACATGGCAACCTCCTCTTCGCCCACGGACAGAAGGGAGTTTCACATCATCCGTGCGGTGATCCACCAACCCCTCGCTTGCTGTCTCCATAGTGCTGGACTACAGACAGCCACGGGCATAGCCAAAACGAACGGAACGTGTTAACTCTCGGATCTGTACATTTAACCAAATTTAAATGACAAACCACAAATGTGTGTCCACGTGTGTATGTCCACGTGTGTGTGTCCACGTGTGTGTGTGTCCACGTGTGTGTGTGTCCACGTGTGTGTGTGTCCACGTGTGTGTGTGTCCACGTGTGTGTCCACGTGTGTGTCCACGTGTGTGTCCACGTGTGTGTGTTCACGTGTGTGTGTCCACGTGTGTGTGTCCACGTGTGTGTGTCCACGTGTGTGTGTTCAAGGGTGTGTGTCCACGTGTGTGTCCACGTGTGTGTGTCCACGTGTGTGTGTGTAATGTAGCGGTAGTGCAGTGGTTAGCGCGCTACGAACCCGACAACCGGGTTCGATTCACGGCCAACGCCAGTGACGATTATTTAAACCAGTCCTGGACCTCCCCTAGATCGACTCAGCCTCAAATGAGTATCTGGTGCGGTGTGTAATCATCGCCACTGGGGAGACAAAGACGTCCGGGCGTGGTGCTGATCACCGACCCTCTGCGTGTACCGTGCCGGCCTTCATAGGTGCCCGCTAACAGCACTTGCCCCTACAGTCTGTTAAGGCTATACGGGGGATCTTTGTCTTTTTGTCTGTCTGTGTGTGTGTCTGTCTCCCTGTGCGCATGTCTCTGCGCCCTGAGCGCGCTGCGCTATGAACCCGGCCACCCGAGTTCGATTCCACCTCACGCCCAACACCGGTGACGATTATGTGAACCGGTCCTGCCCCCCCCTCCCCCCCTTAGGTCAACTCAGCCTCAAATGAGGACCTGGCGTGGTGTAAAAAAAAAAAAAACACAAAAATATTCTCGACCGGGGAGACAAAGGCGGCCGGGCGTGGTGTTGTCCACCCACTCCCTCTCGTGCGCCGTGACCGCTTTCACAGCTGCCCGCTAACAGCACGTGCACCAACAGCCCTGTTACGGCTGTAGCAGTAAGAGGGGGGGGGGGGTGTCTTTGTCTCACGTGTCCGCGTGTTGTGCCTGTGCGTATCTCGAACATCCTCCTCCACCGCCGCCGCCGTCGCCGCAGAAGCTGCAGCTCTTACCGGGCAAGATGAGCGACTTTTTCGAGGGCATCAACGCGGGCAGCAGCGCCCCGCACGAAGGGCAGCCTCAGCCGCCCGAGGGGAGCCGGCACGCGGCGAGAGGCATCGTGAGCGAAGGCGGTGACCGAGCAGACCCCGAGGAAGGCGGCACAGACGACGAGACAGCAGCAGCAGCGGCAACAACAACAACAACAGCGGCTACAACAACAACAACAGCGGCTTCGTCAGCAGCTGGAGACGCGGGCGTGCTGCAGCAGCAGCATCATCAGCAGCAGCAGCGTCACGACAAGGAGCGGGTGGCCGCGGCTCAGTACCTCACGTCTCGCTGCCTACTGCTCACCTACTTCCGTGGGGACATCGCCAGCGAAGTGGACGAACACTTCAGCCGCGCGCTCAGCCAGAAGCCCCCCACGGCGACGCAGACGACGCAGACGACGACGCCGGGAGCCGAGCAGGCGGAGCGCAGTGAGCGGCGAGCATGGAAAGGTGCGTGGGGGGTGGTGGTGGTGGTTGTGGTTGGTGGTGGTTGCTGGTGGTTGTTGCTGGTGGTTATTCTAGATTTGAAGCTTTCGTGACTGCAAGGATACATACTCTTTGGTTTTATTCGGTAAAGTCACGTAGGTAAAAAATTAAAACAACAAAAATCACGACGTTTCGGCCACAACACAAGCGGCCTTCATCAGGTGACCAACCTGTCCAGCGGACAGGTTGGTTTTACCTACGTGACTTTACCGAATAGAACCAAAGAGTATGTTGTTGGTTATGTTGGTTGTTGTTGGAAGTTGTGGGTTATGTTGGTTGTTGTTGGAAGTTGTTGGTTATGTTGGTTGTTGTTGGAAGTTGTTGGTTATGTTGGTTATGTTGGTTGTTGTTGGTTATGTTGGTTGTTGTTGGTTGTTGTTGGATAGGTTGGTTGTTTGATAGGTTGGTTGTTGTTGGTTATATTGGTTGTTGTTGGTTATGTTGGTTGTTGTTGTTGGAAGTTGTTGATTATGTTGGTTGTTATTATTTGGCTGTTCGCTACATGTTGTTTTGTCGTTGCTGGTTGTTGGTTCATTGATTGTTGGTTTGTTATTGTTTGGTTGTTGTTGTTGGTTGTTATTTGGATGTGTTGATTGCTATTGGTTATGCGATCGTGGGTTGTTGATGCTGCTTGGTTGTTGGTTATTAATTGCTTAGAGCGGGCCACGTGGGACGCGTTTAACAATCATCGGGCGCGTGCAGCGTGTAACGCGTTAATTTGTATTCCTTTGGGGAGGAGTAAATGGGTAAACGCGGAAAGACTGAGCATGGTGGTGTGGTGGTGGTGGCGTGGTGGTTGTGTGGTGGAGGTGTGGATGGTGATGTGGTGGTGATGTGGTGGTGTAGTGGTGGTGGTGTGGTGGTGGTGGTGGTGTGGTGGTTGTGTAGTGGTGGTGGTGTGGTGGTGGTGGTGTGGTTAGCACGGTTGGCTACGTACGGTGCGAAAGAAGCTCAACAGACATGCAGATGTCGTGGGGGAGCGGTGGTGTGGTTGGGTTATCAGCGCATTGCACAGCAAAGCCGCGAACCCCGAGTTCGATTCCCTATGCCCGTGTCCAAAACTCAGTCAAGATTACCCGAACCAGGTCCTGTGGTCGACTGTGCCTGGTTCCGTGTGTGAACATCGCCACTGTGGAGACAAAGGCGGTCGGGCGTGGTGCTGGCCACCCACCCCATGGCTGTGCCGTGCCGGCCGTCATAGGTGCTACTCGCTAACAGCACTTGCCCCTACAGTCTAAGGCTATACGGGGGATCTTTGTCTTTGGCGGAGAGAAGTCCAATCATCGATTATGATCGAATCCCAGCGGAGCGGCGGCGTTGTGTGGTTAGCGCACTCAGCCACTAGCCCCGTGTAACCTGAGTTCGATTCCGCGACCACGGCTAACATCAGTGGCGAGTGTTACTAGAACCGGTCACTTGGGTCTCTCCCCCCCCCCCTCCCTCTCACCTTCATCAACCCGGAGAGACCAGAATGGTGAAGTGTGTAACTTCTCATTGGCATTTGTATCTGTTCAATCGCCTGCAAGTGGAACAATGGCGAGGATTTATTTGTTTAGTTTTGAGAAATTGATTCACAAGCACGCGCGGACTTCCGCGTCCACGCTGACGGTGAGAACTGGTGCACCAATCGTGAGCGCAAATCGTCGATGAGATCCGTACGCTGCCCTAGCAAATGGGTAACGCTGTCCCACGCCCTGAATGAACGGAGCAGAGCCGGGCAGGGTGTGGGCTGGTTTGGGAATAAGGAACGTCACGGCTGGCCGACTCTGCACATCACTCGGCCACGTGAGTCGCGTAACGAGAACGCGCGGTCAAGCAATCTCTCGCGCGCAACGGCGGTCAGAAAACTTAACGTGGGCTTTAAATGAGTACCAATTAATAATTGAAATCACAGCCACGGTTGGCCCACAGACGCGGTCCTCACTTGCGTAGCGCCACCACCGCTCGCCTACACGTGCCGGGTGGAGCGGTGGCGCAACGGTTAGCGCACGGGCGTTGACGAAGCCCCCAGAGGGGGGGGGGGGGTGGGACGGAGCGGTGGGTTCGGATTCCAGCTCACGACCAACATCGGTGCGACGAACAATCCGACACCGATTACTTGGGCCCCCGTTTACGTCGTCTCGGCATTCAATGAGCCACCTGGCAGGGCGCCGGTGTGCAAACGTTCGCACCGGGGGGGACGAAGGCGGTCAGAGCCACCCACCCACCCACCCACCCCCTGCTCGTGTGCCGTGCTCGCTAACGGCACTTGCCTCAGCAGTCTGTGGAGGCTGTACAGGGCATCTTTGTCTTTGTGCGAGAGGCGAAAAGCGTCCAAAGGAATTATCCCCGGTCGCGTTAGATCTTAAGATAATGTATATAAAACATACTATAGTGTGTGTATATACATAAACATACTTTGGTGTGTGTATCTATATATAACATACTATTGTGTGTATATCTATATATATAGAACATATTATAGTGTTGACTTAAAGCTTTCGTGACTACAGAATTCATACTCTGGTGATGGTGGTGATGGTGGTGGCGGTGGTGATGGTGGTGATGGTGGTGGCGGTGGTGGTGGAGGTGGCGGTGGAGATGGTGGTGGCGATGGTGGTGGCGGTGGTGGCGGTGATGGTGGTGATGGTGGTGGCGGTGATGGTGGCGGTGGTGGCGGTGATGGTGGCGGTGGTGGCGGTGATGGTGGTGGTGGCGGTGGTGGTGGTGGCGGTGATGGTGGTGATGGTGGTGGTGGCGGTGGTAGTGGCGGTAGCGGTGATGGTGGTGGCGGTGGTGATGGTGGTGGCGGTGGCAGTGATGGTGGCGGTGGCGGTGGTGGCGGTGGTGATGGTGGTGGTGGTGGCGGTGGTGGTGGTGATGGTGGTGGTGGCGGTGGTGGTGGCGGTGGTGATGGTGGTGATGGTGGTGGCGGTGGTGGCGGTGATGGTGGTTGGCGGTGGTGGTGGTGGTGGTGGTGGTGGCGGTGATGGTGGCGGTGGTGGCGGTGATGGTGGCGGTGGCGGTGGTGGCGGTGGTGGTGGTGATGGTGGCGGTGATGGTGGTGATGGTGGTGGTGGTCACGGACGCTGCGCCCGCTGGCGATGCGCATGAGGGATCTGGCACCTTGCGTCCATCAAGCCGAGGAATGTTCCGATGTTTGTTCCAATAAATACGACACTCAGAGGTCATAGTTCTTCTGCTCGTTGGTGCGGGCGAGGGAAACGGGGGCGGTGGTTACGTGCGGAGTGTGGGGGGGGGTCTCCCCCCCTTCCCCCCTCCCCCACTGGAAGGATTCACTCACAAACTCATCGCATTGAGTCCTGCATCTAATGCGGAGCCCGCTTGTTAATAATCATCATAATAACAATCATAACCCAGCCGTCATGGCGAGCCCGACTCTGCTCTGCTGTTGAGACCCAGAAGGTCGAGACGACTGCAGAATTGAGATTTTACTAAAACACACGTGGGGAGGATCTCCATCTGGCAAAGCGCTGTAAATTATCAACGAATCATCATCGTCATTGTTCAATACGAGCACAATGTCGTCCATATTATCATTGCCTCTCTGGCAGCATTCACCGGCTGTTACTTATAGTTATTAAATCATGATGCATTCGCTTCAATGATCTGAAGTCGACGTTTATTTTACTTTGTTACGCGGATAACGGTCCCGTTTAGTCAGTTGTTGCCCGGAGTACAAGAAGAACAACAACAGCAACAACAACAGCAGCAGCAACAACAACAGAAACGTCGATAATGACGAGAACGGGTACAGCAGGGTCCTTAAGGAATATCGCACAGCTAGCGAACGAGCTTCACCAGGGGCGCCATGGTGGCTATGATATGTTAACTACCTCGCCTGGTGTGCAGGAGGTCGTGGGTTCGATTCAAATTTTGACGCCTGCTGCTGTATATTTGGAGTTTGCGTGTCTCTCTCTCATCATCATCATGGTGGCTATGAGATGTTAACTACCTCGCCTGGTGTGCAGGAGGTCGTGGGTTCGATTCCAACCCTGACGCCTGCTGCTCTATATTTGGAGTTTGCGTGTCTCTCTCTCATCATCATCATGGTGGCTATGAGATGTTAACTACCTCGCGTGGTGTGCAGGAGGTCGTGGGTTCGATTCCAACCCTGACGCCTGCTGCTCTATATTTGGAGTTTGCGTGTGTCTCTCTCTCTCATCATCATGGTGGCTATGAGATGTTAACTACCTCGCCTGGTGTGCAGGAGGTCGTGGGTTCGATTCCAACCCTGACGCCTGCTGCTCTATATTTGGAGTTTGCGTGTCTCTCTCTCTCCCCGTGATCGCGGGTCCTCCGGTTTTTTCCCCTCCACATTTAGAAACACGCGTTCAGAGTATTCGGCTACTCTACATTACCAAGTGATAAGCCTTGAGCCACTATTTGTGATGGCCAGATTGCTTCCGAAAAACATCGACATGGCTCAGTGGGGCCTTACCTGGTAAAAGAAAAGACATCTCGTAGTAAATAGTAATAGTAAATAGTACCCCGTGTAAATAGTAAATAGTTATAACGATTTTGATTTAAAGCTTCCGTGACTGCAGTAATTCATATTCTTAGTTTTTTCGGTAAAGTCACGTTGAAGAGAAACAACAAAATAACAAAATATATATAAAACAATAAAAAATTCTCACGACGTTTCGATCGTTTTTAAGAATATATATAGTTATAACGATGTGAATAATCATACTAATATAGTAACTGAGAATAATAAAGGTTTTTTGGGTTAGATCGCCTAACTATGCATGTGCCGTAACCCTCCACCACCCCGAACACGGCCAGTAAGGTTTGTCACGTGAACAACGCGCCAATTGGTTTACTCCTTCAGCCCACCGGTGTGTTGGAGAGCAAATCCACAACATTTACAATTTGAATGCGACGTTTCGCCGGCGTTTAACTGACAGAGTAACCGCGTACGCCGGCTTAAGGCACACTGAATGTCGTGTGGGACGTTAATGGGT